CTCCATTGTACATGCAATTTGAGAGGAAAAGACAGATTCTGTTGTGATTAACTGTTTGCATTTTTAAAATAAAGACTGCTTTTATTTAAAGAATTTGAAGTCTGCATGTTATATACAAAACAAAGAAAAATTGGACGATTTCCAACTGAAGGATACACAGTCTTTGTCACTATTCTCACTATTCTATGTGCAGTCTAGAACCACATAATGTCATCTTTTTCCTGTACACAGGGAGACTCTTTTTGCTAGATAAAAAGGGCAAACACTTGCAGTAGAGAAGACACGAAAACTAGAAATACTGAATATTTGGCAAGAAAAACTCAGTTCCTGTGTGGCATTCTAAGTCTAGAAGGAGTGACCTACATACAGTAACGTCATTGAAGATACAGAAATATTAAATGAATCTCTTAGCTAATGACTATGCAGCTCCCCCTTGACTATGCTGATGAATGGTTCCCCACAGTTCAGTTCTTAGCATCAGGTGGGTCTCAAGATGGAGCTATACCTATTGAGATAGGAGTAAAGAGAAAATACTTTTCAAAAGAAATGAGGACAAACAATGATTTGAAAAGAAGAACTGATTCAAATGTATTCAAATATTTTACACTATTGATTCGTTGTTTTTATTCTATATAGTAATGTGTCTAACAGTGTTAAACTGTTCACTGCTCTGTAACAATGAATCGTGTCCTTGAAAGAGCCAACAGCTCCTCAGATAAACATCACTACTCTAAACCCCAGCTGCAGGCAGACCTTAAAAGATTAGAGCATTATTTACCTGGTTCATACTGTGAAAGTGAGTAATGTAAGCACTTATATAAGAATTACACAGTAGTACAAGTATCTTTTAAAATCAAGGGTGTCCATAAAAAGGCCTGGTCCTTCAGTCTATGAGAGCTCCCTCATGCCCTATAACTTTCATAAGGCAAGAAATAGCAATCTAATTGGAAACTGAACCAGGAACCAGGCTATCAGCTTGTCTTTCTGTCCGTCCTTCCATCTTATTTGACACAAGACAAGATCTTGGTACTTCAGAAAAGGGAAATAAAGATCTTAGCTCAATATTTAGTCATTCATAGAATTAGCAGTGATGACATTAATCTTCTGAAAGCAGTTATTCTTAGCAGTCAAATTAAAGCCATTTTACAAGGCGGGTTCTTAGGGCACTGCTAATGTCTTAAATGTCTTACATACCTGTTAATTACACTTCAAAATCAGAACACTGAAATAGGTCTGACATTATGCAAGGCCTTTAAAAAAAAGATTCAGATACAAGACAGTCTGACAATTTATGAAAAGAAATATAGAACATAAGCCTCCAGCAAAGTCTTCTGTGCTGATTTGCTTCAATGACGAGACTCCTGTCAAGAATTTACAGCATGCAGGTAGAATAATAATACCCTTAATAAAAAACTTCCCCACTCTAGCTTGAATTCATCCTGCTCATTAATTTCAGTTGCAAATTACAGAATCAAAACCACCTATATGGTATTTAAGAAGCCTTGCCTCTGGTGTAAGAGTTTTACTTACTTATCTTACTCTTGCATCAACAACATTGAACAGAATCCTCTTACATCTTACACTGTTGATGCTGAAATTCAGGTTGAACATTTCAGCTGCCTTTAGACAGAAAACCAACAATGTTCCTCAAAAGAAACACTCAGAGTTCTTGTGTTTTTAAAATTAACTTCTGTATTCAGTGCATGCTTAAAGCATAGTTTAAAGTTATGATGTTAATTTAAGGTATCTACTTTAAAACTGCACTGTCAAAATAATCAGGTTTTAGTGTCTCTTCTATATTAAGGTGCCTACATTCGAAAGGTTTTGACAGACTTATTTTTTTCGCAAATTATGCATGCCCTAAAAAAAACCTGCAAACCTATGATGTCACCAAATCACATCAAACAATAACAAGGACAAAAAACAATTAAACTGCAGCAATTTGTATAACAGCCACCATCTGTGGCTAATAATCCATGCAGTTTCTCTTATCTCTGGGATAAATCACAAGGAAACCTTGGAGGTAGGGGGCAGTACTGCCTCAGCAGACCACTCTGAGCCCTTACATTAGCACAGGACCTGCTCCTGTGATTCAGTAAACTACTACACGCTTTGCAGCATTCTCATAACATTATAGCTGCCATGGGTCTGCATACTGCGTTACTGGGTTTCAAGCAGCAAAAAAGAAAAAGAGAAAACAATTTGAATCTAAAGAAAAGTCCTTCAATTCAAATCACCACAGCCTGCTGTATGCAAGCAGCACACAACAAATGGAAAGCATTACTGAAGAAGCTGCTCATGAAAACCACATTTTTATTTAACTCTTTTCAGTTAGGGATTTTTGTACTGTTGTAAAGAGATCTTATTTTGCAAGAAAAAGAAACACTGAAAGAGACTACAGTAGAATAAAGACGCAACCTGCAAAAGCTCTGAGACATTAAGGCTCTTGTGACTGGTACACTTCTTAGACTTCAGGAAATACAGTATTTTAGCACTAAATTTCCTTAAAACTTGATTAATCGTGCCAAAAAAGAACTTGATTTTTTAATCTTGTGTAATGTATAAGAAGTAGTGAATTCCACAATGCTTTGGATGTAATAATGAAAAATAAAATAACAGCTAGGAGAAACTAGGCTAACTTAGAAACTGTGATAAAAGCCTCTGAACTGATACAAGGTGGTCAACATGTAAGATGTAAAAGCAATTCAATACAATAATGGACCCTATGATACAATACAATGAGCTTTCCGAATAGTCTCTACTAGGTCTCCATTTTTCCTAAGTAACTGTCACTGCCTAAAGAAGAGTATGATCTCTTACTACAAATATAAGAGACTGCTAAATGTACACTCAGGCTTGCACCTCTTTTCAGTAAAATGTACCTACTTATGTAAGTCACCGTCTTACAGTGCAAGTTTATCTGACAGCCTCTCCTACAGAACAGCAACATGTCTGAAGTACAAAGACAGCATGCATAAAACACATGAAAATCTTAACATTCCAGCTTTTATCAAAAAAGGAAGCTTAAAACCTGAAGGACGTTACTGTAGCTTCCTGTTAGGGCATACCTAACATTACATACCAGGGGATTTTGTTTTTAACAGTGACAGGTTCCCTGTAATATTGTGAAGTTAAATGAATTAAATAATTACTTCTGAAGATGCTGACAGCAGCTCACTTCCACCCACACTGCAGAAGTGTTAATGAGATACAACTGTGCGGTTTGACTTTTCAACATTACCACTCGACTATTCAGACCAGCATAACATGGGGACATTAGATGGTGATTTTGGGGGTTCCTTAACAAGGAACAGGAGTAGGAAACTAAAAAAGATCATCAGGCTCAAAAGCTTTCAACCTGTACGGTGGCATTTATCCTTTTCTGGCACTTAATCTTCAATTTTCCTAACTGTTCAAAAATGTCATACAACCTGTATCATTTTTAAGAAAAAAAAGATTAACTACATTAAGAGATATCGGTTTCATCCTTCAGTTTTAGTTTTTAGGCACTACAGGAAAATCAGATACAGGGGAATTAGTTAACAAAAGCAGAAATCTTGACACTCGCAGCAAAATTCAGCTGTGTCTGCAAACCACAAGGATATGAAAACCAGAAATCCTGAATTGTACAATACCTCAAGACATATGCGGTGTGTAAATTGAGCTGCCAAAGAAGTGAACTGCAAAGCTGCGATGACAACTGCGAGGCAGGCTTTTTCACATCCACATTTAGAAGCTGATATCCTACACAACGAGCCGTGAATAGGAGAATATATTTAGTATATACTGGGTTTAGGTATTAAAACATGTGAGACACACAACCATTGCCTCTATGGCTATATTTTGAACTTCTGTCCCTAACTCTACCGTGCAAAACATCTGGCAAACATTTTACCCAGTGAAATTCTGAATTTCTATAAAAAATACAAAAAGAAAAACTTTATATATTTACATATTATGCTACTGCAGTTACTGTAATTTAAACAACTAAAAGAGCTGTGCTGAATATCATACCAGCACCTCTTCACCATCCAGCTTCCTTTGTGCTTCACAGCTGGGTTAATAAAATCTACTCTTCCACTGTACAGACTGTAGCATCATAAGTATCCCTGAATTTAGCTAAAACACACCAAGGAAAACTGACATTAAAAGAACCAAATTAAATTTACCACGCATACACTGAAATAAGTTGAAAAGTCTGTTTCTGTACCTTACTTTTTTGTTCATAGTGTAGATTTGTGGTACAGGTTACAGATAATATTGACTGTATGTAACAGCGATGCATACATATTACCTTATTGCAGGCCATGTGATTTTTAATTCTTAAACTTAGCATATGATTTGTACTTTTGAATCAAGCACATTTAAAAACAGTAAAACTTAGCCCTCCATAAGCCATTGTCTAGGCTGTAAGGCACCATTCAGTTGAATGCAAAATCTTTGTGAAGCTCAGCAGGAGAAAACAATTAAAGCTACACTGCAGCATTAGTTATACTAATGGCATGCATTAGACCTTGACAGACTGACGAGGGTGAAAGACTATTTTTTTATGATGCAGATGCATGAACAGAGCCCACACTTATACTGTACTTCAGGACATCCACATTAATAGAGAACATATGATCCTGTGCTACTGGTAGATGTTGCGCATCAGACTCAACAAGTCTCTCGTTAGAATAAATCTCTAAGGGGTGTGTGGGGGTAGGAAGGTCTTAAGCTGAAATGTCTCTTGTAGCAAGTCAGCAGTCTTTGCGGCCAGTTATCACTGACTATTCCCCCCCTCTCTCCCTCATGCAAGTGTCAGCTCGCAAAATAATGTGGGCAGGTGGCATCCAATTAAAACCAGTGCAAAATGATTTCACAAATTTCCTTTCAAGCGCTCTAGCTAGAATTCTGGTTTATATAACATCTCTCTGGCAATTAAGTCACCAAGGATATTGGTTCAGCTGATGAGATAAGGAGGTCTTTACTGTTGATGCATGAGCTCGCCAGCTGTGGCTGATACAAGCGTCGGACTTTCCCTGGCAGCTCCCCCCTCCCCCTCCCCACCTCTGTTTCACTGACACTCGCGCACACGCACGCACACACACAAACACACAGGGACTGCAGCAGTAAATGAGGAAAACTTCATGAATGCATGCCTGCCTCTAGCGAATGCTGGAGCTAAGTAAATGTCTTACTGATACCTTAGGAGAAGAAGTGGTAGCTACATCTCACGGGGCTTTGAAGAATTTCTCTGATATCAAGCAGCCGATGTGCAACAACTACTACAACTACTGCTGCTGCTGCTGCCGCTGCTTTTACTATTACCATGGAAGATCATCTCTTCAATCTAAGCTCCCTAATCAACTAAACGAACGGACATGTACTGGAAGCACAGAGGATTTTTACTGTATTCTCCATTTCATCTGTAATTTACTCTTAAAGGTAAGTCAGATTTCTAAGGCTGTTAACCAAGAATTATCAAGCGAGTTAATTTTCAGAAAAGGATCTGTATTGCCTTAGCATCCTTTGAGGCAGAAAGGCTGGGAATGTATTACTGCCGTTCTGTGTGCTAAGAATCTGCTATGAAAATGTTTTTTTCAGTTTTGTTTTCTAGAGGGCAATGCTTTCATAAACTAGACAGAAGCTGCATCATCATACCATTTCAAAATATTAATATATTACAGGTGTTCAGTTCTAAGAAAAATATAGGTGAATGTTAGCTGTGTTTAATAAATTTAGATGCACTTTCAGGAATGTATCTTACAGTAAATGATTACAGCATAATGGAAGCATCTAGCAGAAAAAAGTCAATACATAGTTGCAGGGAAACAAAAACATTGTGAGGGCACACACTGCTTAATATAACATTAAAGTAAGGTAATTGAGAAAAGTGATGTCAATGAATTATTGTTTAGAGCAAGGGATTCTACTGTGTATTTCATTTCATGCAAGCTCTTACAACCAAATAGAATGAAAAATGTCACACAAATATGAAATGTGTAGCTTTATTTAAAGATCAAATGCAAAACCAAAACCTAAAATACTCTAATTTCATACTGTTTCCAGTGATGCATGATAATTTGGTGTTGCGATGTTTATCAAGGACAAATAGCTAACAGGAAAGTGCAGTCTGAAAACTAAGATAATCTGGAAAAGAAATAAAACTAAGCATAATATATTTCACTGCATTTGACTGGGGATACTTCCACTAACTACTCGGCAATCACATATAATATGAGTGATCCTGCTTTTTTTCACTGGGGCAGCACACCATGCTAAAATGAGTCCCGAGGTTTAATTTAAAAGCAAAAAACTCTGTGCTTTTTTCCCCTTCTGCTTTTTCACTGTCTTACGAAACGGACTGCATCGCAGTCCATAAGGAATACAATCTCCTCTGCTGCTTCAATGCAACTTATTTTAAGGAATTAATATATTCATTTAGCTTTGAGTGTAACAGTCTGGAAACAATACCTAAACTAACAATTATCTGCTCTGCATCACTGACTCGGAAAACCTCTCAAGAGAAGAACAGCCCACAGCTCTGCATGGTCAGTTCTTCACTGGCAGGAGTTATTGTAACAGCACACCTTATCTAGCGCATTCCCCAACCCCAGGGCATACAGCATTCAAAACACATCCTTCTGTTTTTCATATAGAGCTCGGAGATCCCAAAACACATCTAATTATACAGAGAGAATGCTGGCTCAGTATAAATACAAACTCTTCTTAAATGCATTACTTGAATAAAAATCTTTGAAAAAGGAACAGAAACTACCAACTTCAAAATAAGAAATAAAATGTTGTACTTGCATTGTGAGGTGACTAATTTAGCCTAAAACAAATGACCTGCTTTTAAAGGTATGACTGTTGTTATACTGCACAAATATGTTACCTTTCATGTTGTAATGGGATTATTTATTAAGTACTTCATTCCAGAACACTTCTCTGGACTGCAGTACAGCAGAATATATTTGGTTAGTCCAAGCAGCAACGCATTCTGCCGCATTTAAAGGACACATTAGACACCTGATACTGTCAGGCTCTGGTCTTCATTACAGGAAGTTTACATTGAATTACTATTGAAAAGGTATATGAAATGCAGTGAATACAGCAGTGGAAAACTGTGGAACTGTGAACCTGGAAATGCAAACTGAAGAACAGGTTCACAGTTCATATTGTACTGTGCTGCTTTGAAAGGTACAGTATGACATTATCAACATTTTGAAGACTGAGTTAACTCTTATCTGCCTATAGTAAAAAATATAGTGTCTAAACGATTCCCAATAGAAACAAATGCCGCTACATTTTTAACCAGACTTCACAGCATTGTTTCATACCAAATCAGTCTCTAAACCTGCATCATTACAGTCAGTTACGCTGTAACCTAGTCACCTACAGTAATATATAGTCACATTGTTCAGGCATTTTTATGCATCAAGGAATTAATTGAAAAATAACCTGGGAAGCTGTTCTTTTTTTCTCTATTTAAGCTTAGACCTACATGTAATTTTATAGCAAAGCGATCCACACAAAACTTCAGTTTTCATAATGTTCAAGCTTTTCATTAACATTAAAGGAATACACAGATTACCAGCTTTTTTCAGATTCAGCTCAGTGGGGTTTTCCTTTTATTACCTTCTCTCTATGGCAGCTCTCACCCCAGTTTATATGACTGTCTCTTAGTGATAAAGGTTGAACTGAAAGGGTGAAACATACAGCAATCAAAGGATTGTTCATTTGGCTTCCCAGTCTGGGCTGAATGAACTCAATTTCAATGACTTCAACACAAAAATCAATCAAGATCTGACAAACAGCACAATTCATAACATTACAGTACAGCTGAGACCACCTCACCTCACACCAATTAAGGTCCAAACAAACCCACAGAATACTGAAACATACTGTAAACTGGATAAAAAGAAAGCATGTTCTTTACCAAAACACTGGACACAAAGACAAGCATAATCTATTTTGTTCCTCCTGTTTTCTTACTACGTACTTTAAGTATAAACTGTTCAAAAATGTACGAAAGGATCCATATTTTAAATAAGCAACCTGTATTTATTTGTTCAGTTTATCATGCAAAAAAAGGCTCTTAAACGTTTTTTGAATTCTGCTACCCTTTGAATTTCTCATCTATGACAGATGAACCAATTTAGATTATACTCCATTACAAAACAGCTCAACCCCTTGCCAGCAGACCTAAGGCATCAAAAAGAAAAAAAAACAAGAAACTCTTTTAATCATGAAAACAAAGCAGATTTGCCTGATGAATACTTATAAACTGAGACGATGCTTTTCAAGGGGACAGGAGATCTTTGCAAATATTAATATCATGACCAACAGAAAACAGAAACAAGGCTTGAAAGAAATAAGAATTGTTTTGAAACAGGGAAAGCAATAGTGTTTTACAACAACACGATCTGAAGGCAAACCCCTTGCTCAGATTCACTCGGAAATTGGAAATACGCTTTTGTTCGAAACAGACACTGTGGACAAATCTGGCAATCCATAGTAATTCAAAAATGAAAAGACCTTGAAAACATCCCTTGATAAAACCTACCTAATTATTTTAAAAATGTACTGAAACACTTATTACTGAGTTGGCACAATGAAAGCCAGTCATTTAAGCTTTAGTTCCAGTGGGACTTATTAAAAATAGAATGAAATTTACCAATAGTAGAATTTTATTTCTGACACACAATTTTTATAATGAAGTATGAATAGTCTAATTACTGTGGGAAAACATCTCAGAAACAATGATACATTATAATAATAACGTTAAAAGTATTTAATAGGTTTATCTTATTAAAACTAAATTCTCTTAATGTCCCCCAACAACAAACAATTCCTAAAGCTCTCTAGAAAATACAGCTAAGGTAAAGAACTCAAAACTACAGACCAAAAGAACTCAGAAGTGGAGGAATATGATATACTCTCCTTTACTTATTATTGATAGTTTAACTAAACATAGTACACTACTTTGCTTCAAATACAAGAAGGTTCCAGCTACTACAAATGAAAAGTCTAAGGTGAAACACATACTCATTTCAATTATTACTTGTGATTCATATTCAGTGCCTACACTGAACCTGCAGGAGCAAAGAGAGTGAGAGAAATCAAAAATCATTGAAGATTACTTGTCTTGTCTTGAATTTTGTTTCCATCAGGTACTAATCATGTATCAACATTCATGCCAGGTTTACAAATTCAAATTGACGTGTACTGTGACTTCCTATATAGAACCTGACACACATGGAAAACCAATACATACAGTACTAAAATTGTTGTATACGGTTCTGTGGAGTATGTGTAGTACAACCTCCACCACAAAATGATCCTAAAAAGAAGTAAAAGTAAAACAAGACAGTAGAGCAGTTGACAAAGTAATGCAACCCTGTTAACATGACACAAATGTCTTACATCAGATACACACATGCACATACATATACAGTACACATAAGCACAGATTGGATGTACAATATATGCTGTAGGGTGACTACTAGATTTACTTGAAGACAGTTAAATCAAGTCCTCCTTTCTTTGGGTGAAGGCCAAGTCAATTTCTTTATAACACAATTTCATCTGCTGTATGGCATTATTAAGACAAAGGGGTTAAAAACGTTAAGATAAGCTAGGCATGCCATTGACAAGTAAGTGTGGTAACTGAATTTGTTAAGGATGCATTCTAAAAAAACTACTGATATTTCACTCCAGCAAAACAGAAAAGAATATTTGTTGCTTGTGAGAACCATTAGGACTTAAATCATAAAGCACAAGTTAACGAAATCCCCAACTCTTAAAGGGCATAGTTACAGTATGTGCCTTTGACAGCACATAGGGTATCCAGGTCCACATTGTCAAAAAAGTACTATGCAGAAAGACAGGATTAAAAGTAAGAAAGATGATAATATTTGTGCTCTTTCATATTTACTGTCATTGAATGTTCAAATTTTATCAATGACACTTTTTTTCTTTCTCAAGGTTACTGGAAAAGTCTTTTGACAATCTGAATCAGAGCTCTGTCTCAAGCTTGCATGAGCTGAGGAAAGTATATTAAGGTCCCAAGGTAGACTTATGCTGAGGACAGATATACTATATAAAATTAGATTTTTTTCTGAAAAGCATTTGTATCAGGCTTTTTATATTCGTTTACAAACTGAATGCATGAGAAAGTTATATGTGGTAATTTGACTTTAACCGGCCTAGTTTGAGGCATGACTCCTGCTTTATGGACAAGGATGTCAAAAACGTCTCAAAGACTGAGACGTTTTTGACATCCTTGTCCATAAAGCAGGAGTCATGTGAGACAAAAGGTTGCTGCATTAACAGTGGCTTTTCAGGAAGGAATGTGTGTTAGCATGCTGGAAAATAGCAGTCTAGGGTCCTGCATTTATATTCTAGAGCAGGTGTCTGGTTGTAGTCCTCTCAACCCTTTATTA